GGAAAGTGTTCAGTGCAGATCAGTGAGTAAGCACCAGCCTGCCCGTGCTTACCTTGCTCCCGGAGCCCGGTTCCTCTCGGGATGGTAGCAAGGGAGCCGTCTGAGCACTACCTACACTCAGTCCCCCGCCACCATAATGTCTACCTACACTCAGTCAAAAGAATTGTTAGGATTGTTAGTGACTATATTACAGTGATTATATTATAAAATATGCATTAAGAGGCTGTTGATAGAACACCAACTTGCAATGTAGGTGACTTGGATTATAGTTATGACTCTACTTCTAATCAGCTATCTGATCCAGGCTAAGAAAATTGACATCATTAGGCTTCTTTTTCTCATCTGTGTACTGTGTATACCAGTTTCCTTCCAAACCTACTGTTCTGTGATCTGTTCAATACCCTTTTATACATTGAGACGTTATTTTCTGTCATAATTTTGAAGCCATGATTCTTTTCTAAATCAGTAGAATGCCTACATAGCCCTCATCCTTGGTACTTAGATCAGAAGCCTTAGGTCTCAGTTCTGTTATTAGCTAGTCATGTGACCTTGAACAAAACATTTTATCACCCAAAGTTCAGTTTTCCACATATTTAAGGTGGAGTAAACCAATTTTTGAAGAGATAAAATATATTACTATATTTTTTATAAAAGACAAGGTGATATTACCTTCATTTTACCTGCTTTACTTTTTTATTGTATGTGGTAGTTTATTAAACATTTTTATAATTTTCTGCTTTCTTTTTCTCCCAAAGTGATTATAGTCATTATTTTGGTGGTGATGGCTAGTATCATTGGAATTATCCTCTTAATTGCCTTCCTTTATGTCTGCCTCAGAAAGGTGAGAATTTAGTTTTTAATTTCTCTCTAAGTATTTGTGTGAATAACTTTTTGAGATCTTAATGTCTTGCATTCAATTAAACTTAAAGAGAAAGAAAATTGCATAAAACTCAATCGTTTTCAACTGAACACATAGAAGTAACTGCATTAATCTCATATAAATTGTTTTTTTTAAATTTTTATTGTGATTTGGGTGAAAGTTTACAGAGCAAATTCACTTTCCATATAGCAGCTCACATATACTTTGTCTCATGACATTGACTACACTTTATTACAATGTAACAGCTCCCCTCCCACTTCCTCACCATAGTTATTTCTTCCCTATATCCTTCCCTCTCATGCACTCCTGCCGCCTGAGCTGTCTCCCTATGCGTGTATACAGCCCTTCTATTCTCCCATGATTGATCTCTCCAAGGAATGTATCTACCTAATGTAAATGTTCAGCTCATATCCCTGTCTTTTGTTGGCTGGAAGCCACAGGAGTAGGTTTAATTCCAGACCTGAAGGGCAACTAGGGGTTATAGTTTCAGTGTTTCCATCAGGCTCTATCAGACCAGCAAACCTGGTCCTTTTTTAAAAAATGATTTTGAGTCCCACATTGTTCTCCCACTCTGTCCAGGATCTCCTACTGATATCCCCCTCCAAGTGATTGACAGTGGTAGCCGGGCACCATGTAGTTCTTCTGATCTCAGTCTTATAGGCTGAGAATCACACAGTGTACAGTCGCTTGGACTAATTGTTTCCATGTGTCTTTGGTTTTCTTCATTCTTCTTTGCCCTGGATAAGAAGAGATACATCATTGCCTCTAGATGTCTGCTTGCAAGCTTTTAAGATCCCATTTGCTACTTGCCAAAGTAGTATATTGAACAATGTTTTTGTGTAGTATGTTATACCAATTGAGCTTGATGTCCCCTATGACTATAGTCCCAAGCCCACAGGTCCAATTACTTGCTCCTTCTGGGTAGCTGGCTGTGGCCAAGAAGTGACAACAACGTTGCCTCTTGTCAGCTCTACTGTATACCTGAGAATTCTTAGAGAATGTACCAATACATTTGTAGAAATATTGTCTGCCAACCCTATACATGGTCTTGGGCACACCCCCCCCCCTCCATAGACATACCTAATAGTTTAGCCTGTCCACCCATCCATCCTCCCATATACCAATATTTGCCTTCACTGACAATGCAGTACTGTATGTGCAAAAAGGTTCATCTTTGTTGTCTGTATCTCCAATGAACCTCTCTGTCTTTCTTTTCTTCATTGCCACCGTGTTGATCACTCACATTTGGTACATTGTTCTTCTCTTCACCCAAATCAATACTTGTTTCTACCTATCTAGCAGTGTTCCCTCCCCTCCCCTCCAACTCTCATAGAATTTTTATTTGCATTTCCCTGACAAGCTCACTGCCTTCAAGGCAATTCTGACTCATAGCAACCCTATAAGGACAGAGTAGAACTTCCCCACTGAGTTTCCAAGACTGCATTTTTTACAGAAGCAGACTGCCACATCTTTCTCCCACAGAGCAGCTGGTGATTTTGAACCACTGACATTTTGGTTAGCAACTGAACACTTTAACCACAATAACACTCAGGATCCTTGCCCAATAACCAAAAAAATACCAAGCCCACTGTCATAGAATCAATTCTAACTCATAGTGACCTCCATTGCTTTTCAAGGTGGTAAATCTTTATGGAAATAGATTGCCTCATCTTCCTCCTGTGGAGCTGCTGGTGGGTGTGATCACCAGCCTTCTGGTTAGCAGTCAAATTGCTTAGGCACTGCACCACCAGGGTTCCTTTCTGCCCAGTAAAGGGAACCACAAATATAAATACTGTGGGAGATCACACTTTATAATTATATTTATCCATTTCTTCAAGGAAAGATTCCCCAAAGTGTATATCTGACTTGATTTGATACATTTTGGTAGACATAGATGAAATAGTTAAGTTTCTACTTCATTAATCCTTTATTCTCTGTGATCTCCACACAATAACCACTAAATATGTTGTTTTAAAAGGCTTATTAATCACCCTGCAATGGTGGGTCCATAAAACAAGAATAATAGTAAAGATCTACATTATGTTCTTTTGCCTCTTTTTTAATAACTTCTGTCAATCACGACTTCTATAATCATTCAAACCTTTGATTGATAACCATTGCTCCATCTAAATGTATTTTTCTTAAATAATAAAAGTAAAGTTATTGAGAAGATATGCTGTTATGCATGGGAGACTTTGTCAGAACTTTAATATAAAATGTGTCCTCCTGTTGAAAGAACAAATATTGGAGAAAAATCTTTTCCTTGTGTTTAGGTATATATGGCAATTGTGATCTCTTCTTCTTGGTCAATATTCTAACACATGAAAAAGGCAATGAAATGCTAAGTTGACAAAATTCTGAGAAGATTTTCTAAACATAGATATATACGTAGACAGAGATACATGGAAGAAATGTGTCATGGTCGACAAGATGAAAGGTCACAACTCTTTTTTTTTTTCTTTTTCCAATAAATGTTAGCTATTCATCACAGGAGAGAAATGTATGTCAATTTTGGGAGTAATAATCTACCTGTTGAAATTCCAAATGCTATTTGAGAATACAAGTTTAATTCAAAGTTTGTAAACATCTATGAAACAGTGACTTCTTCCAAAGACAATCTACAAAGTGAATTACAACCAAAAGAAAAAAAAATAGCTTTAAAAAAATATTTTTAATCTGAATCATTATTCTTCTTAGTTTAAAAATATGTGTATTAATATTTCTCTGGTCTTTATTCATAGAAAAGTTCACTTGATAGACAACTTCCATTCTCAAATGACACAGGCGTTCCTTTAAGTTCTGTTGAAGCAGGAAATCCAGGTTGGTTCTACTTTCATTGGGTTTTTTCTGGTTTTTGTTTTATCTATTTACTTTTTTTTAGTACCTTCCTAAAATGCATCATGCACTCAAATAATAAATGAGTAAATACTTCAAATCCTAAGAAAATGAAAAAATATAACCAGATATGTAAAGGACATTATAGTACTTGAAGCGATGTTATCATCACATTTTTCTTAACTTTTTATTGTCATTTATGAAACAATTGACATTCAACAGTTCACACACATTTTGTTTTGTGACACTGATTACACTTCACACAGTGTAACAGCTCACCTCCCACTTCCTCCCTGTGGTTATCCTCTCCTTGTGTCCTTCTTGCCTATGCATTCCTGCGTCCCTATCTTTCTCCCCGTTCAAATGCTGCCCTTCTGATCTCCTGTGGTTGATTGTTCTAAAGAGTGCATCTCCCTGGTGTAGGTGTTCAGTTGGTAGGCCTGTCTGTTGTTTGGCTGAGAGTTAAGCCATGAGAGTGAGTTCAATTCCAGGCCCAAAGGGTAACTGATAGTCATGGGGGTTTCACCAGCCTCTATCTGATCAGTAAACCTGGTCTCTAGTCTCATTTTTTATTTTTCACAATTTTGGAAGGGAAATAAATTAATGAGTTACTTCTTTCTGAGTTTTGGGGAATCATGAATACTCAAGTGGGATTCATTTATGTTATATTTCTTCAGTGCTACCTCTATAGCATTTAAAAAATTTTATTTTTAAGGTGAGCATTAGTGTGTAGCATAGTAAAATTTCCCCTTAGGAGAATTGAAACTTTTTTTGAAAAAGTTAAACAAGTACTATAAGTAATCAAGAAAATCAAGTTCTTTGGTGTACTCCTTATTTTTCAAACCGCAACATTATCTGTATAGAACAGAGCACAGTTATAGTTTAAGAGCCCAGGATCTGGAGCCAGTCTTGGTTTTGAATCCAAATTCCAACACTGTGTAACTCTGAGGAAGTTACTACAATTCTTTTAAAATAGAGATAATGATAGTGAAAATCTCATAGAGTTTAATGAGGATTAACCAGGCTTCTATAGGTTCAAGGCCATAAGTGCTCACGCCTGTTAGCTATTATCAACTTTGCAAGTTCTGCTCCCAGCTAACTGCCTGTGCACAGCTGGTCAATCATCTGGCCTTTCATTTCCACTCCCAGGTGCTAAGGAGATACACAACATGTAGAGGATTGCAGGTATAGATTATATGTCCAGGAACAATATAACAATATTGATATACATGAGCATATATTGCAAACTTTAAGAAATGGAAGATTTTTATGTTTAAAAGAAATCAGATCTTATTTTTAAAATTATATAAAATCTGACAGTGCCAGGAGCTGCCATATGAGCACAAGTGCGATTCCTAAGAACCAAGTGGTTGCTGCCACCTCAAGCATGTATCCTTTGGTTTTATTTAGTTGCATTTTGTTTGTTTGTTTATTTAATTTAGCCATCTTAATTTATTTAATTCCTCATGGCCCCTCACCAGTTGAGCTCCTATTGGACTTTGCCTAAAGCATAATCCTGGATGTTTGGGAGATGTCCACAAAAAAAAAACAAGTCTCTGGGATGGGCCTTAATGCTCAAGCAAACGGAGTGCATCATGTTCTACGAGATTTTGTAAGGAGCTCTGTTGGTGCAGTGGTTAAGGCATTTGGTTGCTAACCAAAAGATTGGTGGTTGGAACCCACCAGCTGCTCCATGGGAGAAAGATGAGGCAGAGTCTGCTTCCGTAAAGATCTGCAGCCTTGGAAACTCTATGGGACAGTTCTACTCTGTCCTATTAGGGTTGTTATGAGTCAGAATTGACAGGATGAACGTGAGTTTTAGTAGGTGATTCTGCCTTCTACAAAATCACTTGAAGGTTTTCCCAATAATTATCAAAAGTCATGACAGAATTGAGGTCCTGTACATTTCCAGATTCCAGTCTTAACCTTGAATCAAACACATATCATTAAAGGACTTGTGAGGTTTTATAAACTTTAAATTCATAAAAATACAGCATTCTAAAGGCCCACCGTCAATTACACAGTCTACACGCAGGCCTACACGCAGGCCTTGATTCATCACATTATCTTAACAATGATCGTTACATAATTGTTTTGTTGTATCCCTCAGAAGGGAGCTCTGGTAGTGTAGTGCCTAAGGCACTTGACTGCTAACCAGAAGGCTGGCGGTTCAAACCCACCAGCCACTAGTCGGAAGGACGTTGGGCAATCCTACTTCCGTAGTGATACTGCCTCAGAAGCCCAAGGAGGGGTCACTATGAGTTGGGTCCGACTCGATGGCCCATAACAACATAACAATAACATCCCTCAGAAGGAAGGTCAAGCAATCTACTTCCCTAGTGTTACTGCCTTGGAAACCCAAGGAGGGGTCGCTATGAGTTGGATCCGACTCTATGGCAGTGAGTTTGGTTTTGGTTTTTAGAGTGATTACTTTGTCATTCCATGTATAGTGAATGGCAGAGATAATTCTCAACTAAAGAACTGATCTGCAGATACAAGAAATAATAAAATTTTTGAAGTCGTGTATCAGATTCACTTTATTTATTAAGGTTAGCTTGGGTGACACAAATGGTTAAGTGTGAGACTATTAGCTGTAAAAGTTGTAGGTTCAAATACACCCAGTGTTGCCTCGGGAGGCAGGCCTCGTGATCTGCTTCTAATAGATCACAGTACCACTCTGCACACATGAGCTCACTATGCGTCAACAGCTAACAACAATTACACAACTTGCAGCTGGAACAAGTGCCTGTAACATATTTAATTACATTTTTTCTTTCTTTAAAAAAAAGCTTTGATGCAGTTTATAAAATGGACAAACTACCTACCACCCAAAATCAAATTTTTATGCCCCAAATTTTTATACATTTTTGTTGTTGTTGTTGTTATGTGCCGTCGAGTCAGCCCTGACTCATAGCGACCCCTCCTTGGGTTTCCGAGGCAGTATCACTATGGAAGTAGGATTGCCCAACCTTCCTTCCAAGGAGTGGCTGGTGGGTTTGAACCGCCAGCCTTCTGGTTAGCAGTCAAGTGCCTTAGCCACTATGCTACCAGAGCTCCCTATACATTTTTACTACTCATTTATTCTAGAGACAATTGTATTGAGAATTTTCTCTGCTGTTTTTATTTTCATACAACTTTGAACCTGTCAGCTAAGTAACCCACAAAACTTTGAGACAATTTATCCTACTACAGAGCACTAAAACAGTTTTGCAAGTCTAGTCCTCTTAAGTGCAAAATTTATTAGGTGGGCTGCAAAACATTCAGCACTGGATATACCAGTCCTAAGGATCTCAGAATCTAGTGGGGGGAAATAATAGAAGGTAGGCATTTCAGTGAACAAGATTAATGTAGCAGAGGTAAGAGGTAACTAACAGACTAAAACAAGATCAAACCAAACTCACGGCGGCCCAGTCAGATCTGACTCATAGTAACCCCTCCTTGGGTTTCCAAGGTTGTATCACTACAGAAGTAGATTGCCCAATCTTCCTTCCAAGGAGACTAAGGCAGGTACGAAAGGCTTCTGGAGATGGTATCACTTGGGGACAATCTTAAAAGGCAAATGAAGTTGACCCAGGGCAAGGCGATCATAGGCCAAAGGGCAAGGCGATTACCAGCAGAAGGGCAGCATGGCAAAGACACAGAAGAAGACAGAAGAAAGTGTACACAAGGAATTATATGTGCACATCCACGTTAGCAGGATTAATGAATGCTCCATTTCTCTGTTCATGTCTCATAATCAAAACCAAACCCACCGCCATAGAATTGATTCCAACCCACAGAGATCCGATAGGATGCACCAGAACTGCTTCATAGGGTTTCCAAGGCTATCTTTAAGGAAGCAGCTGCCTCATCTTTCTACCAGAGTGTCTGGTGGATTTGAACCACCAACGTTTTGGTTAGCAGCCAAATACTTTAACCACTGTACCATCAGAGCTCCTTTTTGAGTATATATAAAGGAAGTTGAAATTCAGATAAACTGATTTTAGATTCATTGCATTCCCCTATATCTATACAAATGAAGTTATTAAATATTTTAGTAAATTTAGTGAGAGTTATATAATCTGATGCTACCTTACTGGAAATACAGGAAGACACGTAAGGTTACAAAGGTACTTTAGTCCTATTGTTTTCAAGTAATTTACAGGCCAAAGACACTAAGAGATAAGCATAACAGTGCCATCTCAGCAAGAACTAAGACCAAATCAAATTCACTGCCAAGGAGTGGGGTCAGATCTGACTCATAGCAACCCCTCCTTGGGTTTCACTATGGAAGTAGATTGCTCAATCTTCCTTCCCAGGAGTGGCTGGTGGGTTTGAACCACCAGCCTTCTGGTTAACAGTCAAACACCTTAAGCCACCAGAGCTCCACAGCAAAAATTAGAGATAATTAAAGTTTAAATTCCTTTAATCTCTTTGAGTTTGTATATGATTTAGATTTGGTAGAAAATGAGAATAAGTTCATCTGAATCAGCTGCCCACTTGACAGCCACATATGACCCCACCAGCTCATGTCTCACAGGAGATTGGGATGCATGTTCCCTGTGACACTTAATAGAAGAAAACTTGAAAGTGCTCTGCTTCCATGAGTGGAAAGGTGCTCCCTATCCCATCCATGTGCTCTGTGGGAGTAACATAAATCCAGTCTTCTAACCAAGAAAGGTGGAGGGTTGCATTCATTTGGTGAGAAGTCAATGCCCTTTTCTCTTTACATGCCAGAATCAAAGAATAATTTAGCAGGAAGTTTCTGATCCAGTTTCTCTTTGCTTACTATATTAAAAAACAGGGCTATCTCTAAAGAGATATTACAGACTGGAGAGTTGCCTGAAATTCAAACATGCATACTTAATTCAACTTGCTTATCATTTACTGCCTTTAGTCTATATTGTATACATGTTCTTTGTTAGTTTCTCACTTCACAGGAAACTAGGAATGGAGCAATTATGTGTCTTCCTTATCTAATGTTTTTAGAACTGATTTTCTGAGAAAATCTTTATTTTTCTTTACACAAAACTCCCTGAAACTAATCTGAAAGGCGATTCTTTTCATTTCCTAAAAATTATTTTCAAGGACAGCTCCATAAGAATGCAAAATACTAAAGTTTCCTAATGCATTAATTAGGTTTTGCATTTAAATACAACTGTCTCATACTACTATTTGTGTTTTTCCTCCTTCTATAGAAAAGTAATCAATGATATCTGCTCACCTCACCAGATTTTGGAAGAACTCTAAGAAGACAGGAAAACTTCAGTCAAGTAAAAATTGAGCATGTAAATTAGACACTATACATTTTATACCTGTCTAAATTGTACAATTTCAGGATGAAAATTTCATCATAATGGGTTCCAGTGACTCAACAACGGACGGAATGTCTCTGCTCATTGATATTTTAGGATGAAAAACAAATATTGCCCTACATGCTTACTTTTGTGTGTTAGCATAATTTTATAATTCATTAGTTGGAAATTATGATCCAAAACTGCAGTTGGTTCTATCCATAGTTCTTTAAGACTGACTTGTTCAAAATGTGTATGAACTGGTGTATGCAAAATGAATTTTCTCTGTAAACTTTCACCCAAATCAAAATAAAAAGTAAACAAAAATAAATAAGACTGACTTATTTTACTCTATTCTCACAATTGTGTTTAGATGATCTCTAACCTTGCTTTTCATTTTGAACTTTGGAGTCTGTTTTCATTTTTTTTTCCCTAAATAAAATAAAGGAGCTCTGGTAGCATAGTGCCTAAGGCACTTAACTGCTAAGCAGAAGGCTGGTGGTTCAAATTCACCAGCCACTCCTTGGAAGGAAGGTTGGGCAATCTACTTCCGTAGTGATACTGCCTCGGCAACCCAAGGAGGGGTCGCTGTGAGTTGGAGTCCTCATTACTCGATGGCATACAACAACAACAACAACAAATAAATTATAGGGACCCTGAAGTCTTATCTTTTATTTCATTGATGAAGAGGCAAGATACAGTATTAGACTGTTGTTGTGGTTAGGTGCCATCGAGTCTTCTCCAACTCATAGCAAGCGACCCTATGTACAACAAAATGAAATACTGCCTGGTCCTGCACCAACCTCACAATCTTGGTATACCTGAGCCCATTGTTACAACCACTGTGTCAATCTTGCAGAGGGCTATGCCCCTTTTTCATTGACCCTCACTTGACCAAGTATGATATCACTCTCCAGGGAATGGTCCTTTCTGACAACATGGCCAAAGTAGGTGAGATGAAGACTGGCCATTCTGGCTTACAAGGAGCATTCCAGCCGCACTTCTTCCAGAATAGATCTGTTAGTTCTGGAAGTCCATGGTACTTTTAGCATTCTTCACCAACACCACAACTCAAAAGCATCAACTCTTCTTCTTTGGTCTTCCTTATTCATCATCCAGCTCTCACATGCATAAGAGGTGATTGACTAT